TGGGCGGGAACCGGAAGCGCCGGTGCCGATGGCGGCGGTTCCTCCGGCCTGTATCTGCGAAGCAGCTTCGACGTTGCCTCTCTGGCTGCGCTTGGAAGTTACAACGAGGGCTTGACGGTCGCCCCGGTGGGCTCCTTCACGAGTGCGGCGCACCCGCAAGGCCTGCACCAGCAGCAGGGCCACAGCCAGTAAGTGCAAAACCAGTTACCGCTGGAACGGGGAAGGAACGCATTTCCCAGCTCCACTGGCCGTGTGAAATAAGTTTTCTTTTCAAGACGGGTTATAATTTGTTTTCTTCTAGTAGTGTTTCGCTTGTGCAATGTTAGAATTGTGTTGCGCTCGTCTTATGGCCTTGAAGTTTGTTGGTAGGGGATGAGAGCGCCTTCTAAAAGGAAAGAAATGGGAGTTTCTTTATATAAAGAAGATAAAGTTTATATAAAGATATAAAGTTTACCAATATCTTGACATGCTTTTAAGCTCGTGTACTTTTTTTACTTTTTTTTTTTTCACTTGCGCTTTCTTATATGTGAGCACAAAAAACTTAAATTATTCCACAAAATGTTGTTCTTTGGTCATATTTAATTTGAGTGTGTCACTGTGAGACAATGTATTAAGAGACTGAAGTTGGATCACGTGTTGCTTCTTGAAGCGTTTGAATTTTAGCAAAAATGGTCTTGCTCCTTGTGGAAAAAATAAATAACGTAAAGGAGGAGAAATTAGCACGGAATTCTGCTCAGAGAACTGAGTAATTACAGCCTCCTTTGACTTTCTTTGGAACAAAGTGGTCATTTATTGTCCAAAACTTCCACTCCCTTCACAGCTGGTGACGTACTGCAACTGTTGCTCTTAGCTGCAAGTGAAATTTTAAAAGGGAGGAAAATATTGTTTGAAAATCTCAATGTCACTGGAAGATATAATTAGAAGCTAAATAACCATTTGTTTTTTTCTTTTGCAGTGTCTCTGTTCGCTGTGGAAAGAAGCATAAGCTAGAAGAAGAGGCGGAAGGGTAAATTAAATTTGTCTTTTATAACCTGAAAAATCTTAATTTGCTTTTTGTTTTCTATAAAGATTTGAGCACATCTCACCTACAACATATGCAGGAAGGGAAATTCTATCATTGTTTCCATTTGGAACTCTTCTCCTGAGTTGCACATAAGCCCAAATCCTTTTCAGTTACCTAATTAATTGTGTAGCACTGATTTTCTTGCATGGGTACCCACATTTTAATTAGAGCAATGTGGATTTATTTTCTTTGTGGAGGTTGTGTTTCCATAGTATGTCAAATCTGTTGAAATGCACATGACTTTCTATAACACTTTTTCCTGTAGAATGACACATTTCTCTTTTGACAATTGTAAACTTATTTTGTTTCCTAGTTGTCCTGTGAGGAAGAAGAGACTGACAGGAGCCAAAAATTGCCCTTTGAATCCCAACACTGAAGAATGGATTCTCTGTGCAGGTCAGCAGGCAGCTGGGGAGGTAGCAAGTCAGTATGGTGGCAGCGGTCCTGAAACTGCCATGTTAGAAATTCCCTGTGAAGAAATGGATCAGACAATGGGGGAACAGCAATGCGAGGTTGCTCGCAGGAAGCTTCAGGAAATTGAGGACAGGTAAATGCAGGGATTGAGTAGACTGGCTTTGCTGAGCTTTCCCTTTTTTGGTGGGCATTAAGGGTTAAATCTAGCACTTAGCAGTGTGATAACACTGCTGTAAGTCTGAGATGAACCTTCTGTTCAAGTGATTTCTTTTTCGGCTACCTGTGGTCGTACGAGTCTTGGGGCTGATACTGTGGTCTGAAATTGAGGGTGCTAGAGCCAGAGATGCTGAATGAATAACTGCCTTTTCACAATCATTATGCAGCATCTGTATACCATAATGGGGTTTTATGCTCTTTTGTGAGTATCCAGAGCTCAAATTTTAACTGATGTTATCTGGTCAGAATTGAGCTCAGCTTTTTTCAACCAATTGCAGCTTGTTCTGTGATTAACACTTCTAAATGCTCAAGATAGATGTGAATTTGTCAGTGTAGAGAATAGCAGGAACCAGAGAGATCTCTCTGCACATGTGCTATGAGACTGAGGTTCATCTTGCTCTTAAATACCAGATGGCTTGATGTTGGGGTAATGGGGTGGCTACGGGCAGTCTATTGCAATCATTTAATAAATGTCCTGTGCATTCTTGCCTTTGAAAGATTTCTGGGAATGTCACGTGTATACATCAGTTGATTGCAGTTGAGCTAGTATTCCGAAATATCTAAAATGACCACTGCAGACAGTTGTTAGAAAAGCCAAAAGTTATATAAATTATAAAACAAGATTTTTTTTTAGATGATTACTCCATAGATGATGCGTGAAGGGAAGCAAGGTACTGTTAGACTATTTTATTTTTTCATGAGTCAATCAGAGTAATGCTATATGTCTTTATTATCTGGCTATATCTGCATTACAAAGTCTGTTTTGGACCTCTCAAAGGATTGTTCCCCATCCTTCCCAGCTACTCTGCTAAATTTTCTTTAAAAGGTTTACCAAAAACAAAGGAGATGCCTCCAGTTTGTTCTAAATGCTTCAACTTTTTGTGCCGTTTTAATCTCTGAGAAATTGGTGCAGCGTCCTTAAAGGTTAAGAGCTGTATTCAGTAGCTTTTCAATAATTCTCAAAGTTAAGATATGGGGAATTGAGCAGGCGAAGCTACTGCATAACTGAGACTCACTCTTGTAATGTGACTGAATCATACGCTTTCCCCTGAAGTGAATTTATTTATTTTCTCTTAGCGTATGTCTGCATTGCGCACTGCTGGACGATGCAGGGATAACAAAAGCTAGCTCAGGTACCAGAAGTGGCATAGCTGCTCAAGTGGCTTCTATGGTAACAGTCATTCTTAGGGTATATTGGCCCAAGAGGGACTCATGTTAACATGGCCCCGCTGCTTCTGGTACCCAGCCTAGGTCAGATATCTACACTGTACAACGCAGTGCACGTAGGTATAACTGTAGTCTGCAGTGGATGTGCCTGTTAACAGTATGCTCAATAGTGTTTATCTCCCTCTTCCCCCTCCATTCCTAGGATAATTGATGAAGATGAGGAAGTTCATGCTGATGGAAATGTTAGCAATCTGCCCACTCTTATCCTGTCAGATACCCTTAAAAAAGGGATGAAGAGGGATTTTGGTGAAGTCCTGACAAAGAAAATAATAGAATCTATGTAAGTTCTGGAGGAAATCATGGTGCTATGTAGCTAACACATGCAAATGAAAAGAGAGACCCAGTCTCATGTTTGTGGAGATGTCCTTAATTACTGCATGATGCAGCCAACGTTGTATAACAGACCATTCATCTGGTCAAAAATAGGAAAAACTATCCTAATGTAAAAGAGAAGTAAGTGTAACTGTAGTGGTCATCAAGCTGTCTGTTTTGTACTCCTCATTTTGTACAGAGTGAAATTTGTTGAATAAACCATTATATCTTGATTCTTATGTATGTGAGTTTCCAAAAGAAGGAGGTCCTGAAGCGTGACCGACAGTGGTCATCAAGTTTGGTGCAAAAGAATAGAAAGAAAATACAGGGTTAGAACTAGAAGTAATGGAACTAGTTAAGGAAGAGGCAATTTAATAGGGGGAAAAAAAAAAGGTATATGGATTCTGGAATATAGTTCCAGGCTAGCACAAAGGATGAAGATACTCACTGGTCTTCTGCATTTAATAGTCGTGATTGGAGAACTTAAATTTAACTGAGACTCCATCCCTTCTAGGAGCCGTCCTTCTATGGAGCTGGTGCTTTGGAAACCTCTTCCTGAATTTCTCACAGATAAACTGAAGTCTGTTTCTGTTAAGAACTTCAAGCAGCAGAGTACAGACGGATGTCAGGCTAAGCAGTCAACACCAAGAGCTGCTTTTGACCCACAGACTGAAACATTCCCTGAATCACAACAGACTGCCATGTCTCCAGATCCATATGCTAGTTTGGGAATCTCTGGGTGTGCAGAAGAAGAAATGGAATTGTAGATGCCAGATTTTAGACTGGAAGTGGTGAGCTTCTGATGTTTTTTGTTGCTGTTTTCTGATTCCTTCTTTCTTTCTGGTTTGATGTGTGAATCTGAAGTTTTATTACTTGTTTTTGTTTTTCCTACTAACAATCATAAGAAGGTGGATTGGCCAGACACAACTTAAGGAAACTGAAAAAAACCCCAAGATTTCTGTACTCCAGTCTGTTAAATATTCTTGTTTTTACTGAGAAGGTAATCCAGAGGCCTTTGGAACAAGGAAGTAGCTTTCCATCTTGCTTAATGGTGAATTATCCTCTTAATTGTCCTTGGTAAAGTATAAAAGCCAAATATTGAATGTAACTGTGGCTTAAGCCACATCTTTCACTTACTGAGCCATGAAGACTTTGGTGCACATACTATGCTTGGTCAGTTAGTTTAATTTGAATTACAAAAAGGTATGGAAAGGAAGAAATACTTCTGAGTCTAGTCACAGATAGAAAAGCAATCCCTATGGAAATACAGCTTTTCACACTATTTCATCTATGGCTGTTTCATCTGTGGCTGGTTTGTACCTGATGTAAACTCAAATATAGAAACTATACATTCTGCAGCGTGGTGTACCTGATGTAAATTCAAATATAGAAACTATACATTCTGCAGCGTGGTAGGGAAGGAATGTTATAGCTGAGCATAAGCCTCTTGCTTTGTAGAAAGTAAAACCAGCTACTAACTTGCAAGATATCTCCTAACTTTAGTCATCTTTGGTTCACTGGCTCCTAAATTGTGTTTGTGGATTTTTGATGCCCTGCTCCCCAAATGATGCAAAGTCTGGAGAAAAGTGGTTCTCAGCCAATTGATTCACATTTTACATTGTGCTCTGATCCTTTGTATGCATCAAGTTGGAAAGTCAGTTCAAGATAGTGTAAGTTTTGATTAAATAAATGTCATCCTTTAATTTTGATAAACATGGTAAATAAATCAGATAACAGGGAGCTGATTTACTGGCGTAAAGAGGGTCAAATGCTGATTATTGTCTGTAACCAAGTCCCAGACTTTGAGACTGCTGGCATTGGTGGTGAAGTAAAAAAGATGCTTGTATTCTTCCTGAGGGAATCTAGACTTAAAATTTAAGCCAGAACACGTGCCATTAACATAATGTCACATAGTTAATACAGATGTATGCCAAAAGAATTTTGTGCCCTGCTTAGGGTGTTAAGAAAAGGAATCCTCAGTGAGTTATTGCTTGTACCTTTCCTCAATGCACAACAGCTCCATTATGCTTAAAACCCTTAAACGAGGCAGAGAACCTTATCTTCTGTTCTTAAGTCCTTGAGCTTTCTCAGAGATACCTGAATTGAGGCTTTTCGTAAGAAATTCCTTTCCAACTAATAGGTTCTTTTCAGAGTCTTAGCATCCCAGTCTGGTTTTGACATCTAGCTAACATAAAGGAGCAAGTACACAGTAATGCAGCTGTTTGCATAAGAAAATCTACTCTTCCTTTGCACAGCTAATTGATAACCTTTGTGATGGTATTTTTTACTGTTGAATAACCCATAGTTGATAGTTTAAAATTAAGCTTCTCTTTTTGCAGTCATCCTTTCTTTTCTTTTGGCTGACAGCAGAAGCTTTGTTCAAAAGATACCCCTATTTGTTAAATCCTGTCTATCTTGCTGCTCTTGTCGAAGGTTGTTTGAAATTTGCTGACTCTTGCTAAAACATTTCAGAGCTTCACTAAAACCATTCCAACATTCGAATAGGTATTACTCTGGAAACCGGTGTATAACTTTACCATTCTGGAACTTTTATTAAATTGGAGAACATGTGCAGCTTTATCTTGCTATTATATCTAATTTCATTTCAGGGTCTGCTATAAACCTCTTGCATGTACTGTGTAAAATTTCTTATGTATTGTTAGGCTGCTGAACGTGCTTAAAATCTACAGCCTTTGACATGCTACATTGCTTGAGTATAAAGTAAAGCAATGCAGTTTGGAGCAGGCTGCAGTCACTGCAGATAGAAAATGTGGTGCCTCCAAATAATTACCTGTTTTTAAGCTTGTGGGATTATAGTGAAAGTTCAAGGTTGGAACTGTTCTAGCTGATAGCTCTGAATCCTAAATAAACGCAAAAGAAATGATAAATCAAAAATTTGATTAAACCATCTCGGCAACACTAAAATTGTGACAAAGGGTGTAGAAAACTGTTGGAGGCTTAAATACGTCAAATCTAGATGCAGGTTTTTTTCTTTTAAAAATGACAAATTGCATATCAAATTTGCAGAAGAAGAAATGTTTGTAGATGGCTTTTAAGCATACTTTTTTCCTGTTATGTTTGTACCAAAGGTTGACTTTCAGAGGTGTATTTCCTCTTAATTGTTTGATGCTAATACAGCATCACTGACCCCTGTTACTCTGCCATCTGAGACAAGAATATAGTGGTGGACTATTGACAAAGACCATGAGATGGGGAAAAAACTGTGTCCAAGAAACTTGCTTTGGTAGAAAAAATTTATTTTATTTTTTTCATAATTCATTTCTGCCCTTGTGGTAGGAGAGAGCAGGGTTGAATCACTTAAATTGATGGGGGAGGAGAAGAGTGGGGCAGAGCAGGAATCAAGTATCTAGGAGGACTGAGCACGATTCTTGCTATAGCAATCCTTTGGAGAGGGTGAGAGAGAACAAGCTACTGGGTGTTTTCAAACTTCTGTATTTGTAACAGTTTCATTTGTTGTTGGCTTCCTTAAAAGACTTTTTATTAATGCTGTTTACAAGCGGGATGGCAAATGTGATGCAGTATTAGGAAAAACTTTATTTTGAGATATGGAAGATCTGATTCTGGTCTGTCTTCTCTTGGGACCAAATCACCCTTTGTATGTCAGTTTTCAATAAATTTTCTAAAATATTTTTTAGATGGCTGTGTTTCATTCCTAATAAAAGTGAAAATCTTGAGAGTGTATGTCCAGTCCTTCAATTGGAGGGTAAAACACTCTTCTGGCCTAAGAAGATTTTTAATTTAACTGCAGAGTCCCAAGGGCATGTCACTTCTTTCCTCCACGGTGTACAACAGGACGGGGGGGGACAACAGCAGGGTGGAATAAACCTGAAGCTGCCGGAAAGGAAGATCTGTAAATCTGTCATGTACCCAAAGGCCTCTAACAAAGCAAAGGCGTACCAAAAGGTGTTGCTTGTGTCTTTAGATGTTTCATTTTACTTCAGACTAAAATTAAGAATGCCTAGCTTGCTTAGTTCAGGATAAAATCAAGAAATGTTTGAGGAGAGTTTTAAAACAAATTCAAATTTTAATAATTATTTTACTGGAATGTAACACTTTGCTCTTTTGTTTAACATCATCTGTTCAAGAGTTTTTCAAGCAGCTGAAGGACAAAGATGGGTGTGCTAGATCAGTATTACCTTTGCTTTCAAAATGAGAGAAAAATAGCACTTCAGATTTATATTAAAAAATAAAAAACCCTGAGGTTTCTAGGCCGAGTCAAACATTGACTTGCTTAAATTGTACTGTGGATTTAGACAAGACAAAATACTTCTCCAATGCAGAGTCAGAGAGAGGAAAAGAATAGCGTAAAACCCAACCCACTTAGGATTGTGTAAGGCTCTCTTGGCTGGCTGAGAGTCTCCTTGGGGATGTGGCTGGGAAACTGTAGAGGTGGGAGGAGTATCTCAGTTACAGAGCCAACCCTGCGGAGAGGGACAGAATTTATTTTGGCGTGGAGTTGGAACTGGACTTGTAGTTGTTCCAGAGCCTGTGTCTTGTATCAGTTAGCTAGGGCAGATGTGTGGCTTCCATCACAGATGATTTATTTAATCAAATGCAGATATAACGTACATGTGAACCACTGGGTCTGGATCCATGCTCCTTGTGAGGCAAGTAGGACTCCAAAACAGAAGTTAGAGCAATCAGAAAGCGGTCATCTTAAGGAAGCATACTGCAAAGGTGAAATCTGCCGCTCTACGTGTGTGTTACTCTTCCCTCTGCTGCCCCAGCTTTGCCTGAGTTTAGTTTAACTTAGCATCTCTCATCTACAGGAAGGTCTCAGATAAAGATCCTCTGGAGACAGCTTAAATTCTCACACTTTAATCTGGATGTTGATATACTATATAAATATATAGATTTAAAAAAAAAACCCTCATCCTGCCTTGGTAGCACTAAGTGGACTTGATTCTAGTAAAAAATATTAATGCTAATAGAAATTCTGAATGCTATTAGGCTTCCAGATGCCCAACAAGAACTATTTGTGTGCTTCTAGTGGAAGAGATCTCAATAAATATTAGCAGCTTGTCTTGGAACCTAATGCTGCCAGTAAGTCAGGATAAAGCGTGGCAGGAAATACTTGTAGCTGTACGGTTGAAAAAGGGAAGGAAAACAGTGTAAATACTACTTCATTGAACATTTTTTTGTCTACTGCGCTTCAGAAGGTTTGGGTGTGAACCTACTAAACACAGGCCTTTTCCAAATATGATGGAAATGTGACTGTAACAGAATTTTCCTTGAATTTTTTAGAAGTTAAAAATTTGTTGCTCATCGAGACACAAAATGCGTTGGGCGGTGAGGTAAGTAAGTTAAATGATGCGCTATCGAAAGCGGGCAGTAGCTGTCCGTGCCCCCCAAGCATGCAGTGCTACCCGAGGTCAGGGGGTGGCGGTGTTGCCGGCATTTTAATGGGTAAAGCACAGCTGGGAAGTTACTCAGGGGGAGAATGGAAGGGATTTTCCGTAGGCAGCGTTGAGGATTATCTATTTCACCTCATCTTGCATCACCTTCGCAGTTCATCCAATACACGTTCACAAATGGCGCTGCAACGGCCGAAGAGCACGGGTCCAGCCCTCCGGACGGACGGGGCTGGGTGGTGGCTGCAGGCACCAGTACGAGCTGCTTGGGCAGAAGAGCCGTGTCATGCAGGCAGCTTTGGAGGAAGGCCAGAGGGGTGACAGAATGACGGGTCTTCCAGCCTTTCAGAGCAGCCTGTTGCAGGAGAGAAGAGAGGGACAGAGATGCTGCACCGGTGAAGTGCTTCAGTCCCCACATCGAGGTGTTTCGGGCCACAGAAGTGCTTTTCCTGCCTGCTAGGGCAGCAGCAGGACGTGCTGCAGTGGAGTTACTCCTCGAGCAGAAGACAGTAGCTTTCTGCTCCATACCACACACCCCATCCGCTCTTATCCTTTTGCCTCATTCTATCTGTGGTAGCACAAGGATGATTCTGAGGATTGCAGTGCTCTACTTCAAAGTGACAATTGGCAGCTGCTACGATTACGATGGAGAAAAGGGGATGTACGTCACAACTGCTTCCTGCCCCTGCCGCGGTAGCAGCCTTTGCTTCCAAGCACTTGGCTGCTCTAGGGCAGGCTCTTAAGTTGAATTCAGTTTAGAGGAGTCCCAAAAAGCTTACATGTGCAGCTATCAAACTATACTTTACTCAAGATGCTGGTTCAAACCACCACTAATGAATCAAAGCAATTTAAAATCTCAAAGTTGTGAGCACTGATCTTTCTTACACCACTGGCTCAGAATAATTACTGGAGCAGAAGCTTGCCCAGCAGCCGAGAACTGTCGTTTGGCTGGCTTAAGAAGAAAGGAAAGTAAAATGCAGTAGAGG